TCAATTTTTAGCCCAGAGTAAGTAAACGGGAAAACGAGCCAAGGGATTTCTTGGTCACGAGGATTGAAGTTTAGATGTTCAAATTTACAATTCACGGTGAGGACAATTGATTGGTGCATGGTTTTGGTTATTTTTTTCATCGGTTTTACGATTTTTGTTATTCGCCTGTTTATTTTTCATATCATCGCCTCATCATTTCAGTCAATTTGCCTAAAAATTTGGATTAAAATTCTTCACCTACCAAGATCTATTTCTTGTTGTTCGGTTGTAGTAGAAATTCGTGGTTGGTGTTCTAGTCTCCGTCATGTGCAGGAAATAACACCTTCTTTCACAATTTTTAAGGGGAAAATTATTAATAGCAAACAGTTTAAATTTTGGGGAGCTTGATAAATAAATGAGTGAAAATAGGCTGAAGATACCATTTCTTTATCAACAAAAAATGCTAATAAAGCATTGCTTCCGCGGTATGTCCCTACCTGTACAGCCTTCACAAAAGCAAAATATGATTCCTGAGAAAATGACAAAGACAGAAAGGAATAACGACGTCCCAGAATCAAATTGGTACATAGACGCCATTTAAACCTTTTCTTTCAGTCCCAGCTTGAAAGCATCAACTTAAATGAAGGTTTTAGCTTTCTCTGGCACGAATAATGACAAGAGTACTGCTTCGTGGACTATACTGTTATTGTTTTGGCGAAGCCTCACGAACATATAGATAGAGTTCCTCTTTGTTAATTACCGCTCCTTTTGAAGTTCAAATTTTTTAATCATAGGCCACTAGGTTATGGACAGATGTATGCACGCCCACACTTTACCGCATAACTTGATAGGCCTCGGTTTTCATGCAACTAAGAAGACATGCGTCACGCGTGCCGCCTCAGTAAATTATCAGTGGTTACTTAGTTCAAATTTCCTGAACTGAGTGGTTGACGAGTGTACAGATGCTGAAATACGAATATCACCTTTAAGACAGTTGAAAATTCCAGTGAACGTTGTTGTCTTACCGCCGTGAATTTATTTCATAAAGGAGAAACTGCCTCCCACGATCGAAATAATGTGTTTGATAAAGATGCCATTATAATTTTTAATGCTTGCACCTCTACAACAAAACATTTTACATAACAAACACCTGAACCGCATGATACAAATGTCATCTGATCCTACCGAGAAACCGTGAGTTTACTCTATTTAGTGTTCATTGCACTAAGTTATCAAATTCTAACGTTACTTAGAATTAACAGAAAACCTCTCTGCAAATCAAATGGTATCCCAAGGTGGATTATTTTTGTTTCTTTTTTTAAAAAAATGCCTACAGACTGAATTTCAGTCCTAGGTAATCTTGAAAAGTAACGTATTTCCCATTTATCTCAATTTGTATCAAAGTTTCTTTTACAGAGCTAAGAAAAAACATCTCTATTTGTTGTGCAGAGAATTTGAACTCCCCTGTTTTGCATCTCTTTATTAGGTTCTTCAATTAAATGAAAGAAGCAGGTGATTAATAATTTGTGACTACTTTTCTCACCGTAACTCTACACATGATGCTTTCGGAGGAACTTATGCTTCTCTCTATAACCGCGGGAACATTTAAGATTAAAATCATATAACCAATTTCGACAAGGAAGTACTTGTTGCTTAGTTGGTAATTGAGCTTAATTGTTAGCGTAAATGGAGCAGAGAATTTAAACGCAACAACGGCTCCAGGAGGGTTTGATATTGTGTTTGAAAAACAGGAGAAATTCTCTTTTTCTTTTTTAATCTTTCTTCAGAATGAGACACGCAGGACCGCTCGTGCGTTTTAAATATGAGTATGTTTGTTGAAGTAACTTTTTCCCACCCTTCTCCTCGCGCGTGTAATACCCCACACGTCTCGCATTCCCTCCGCTGGCCTGAGACACGCAAAAAAAAAAAACAAACACGACTTCTGTTTGATGAGCTTCTCGAATTTTCAGAGAAGAAACATGTCTTTTGTTGCCCAACGATCGAGCTTAAAAATCATTTATCAGATTTCCTTACTGTGACCAGGTCCTCCATATTTCAGTGTTAGTTATCTTAATCACATGCATGTTATTGCAAATGTTCGATAAAACTTTACTACTAGTAGTTGGAGATCTAAAAAGTGTTCATGTAAAGGAACTTCGGTTAATATCAATGTGGAGGAAATGAAAAGGCTGCTGTTTTCACAAACTTACTTTCAGAATAACGAAAAGAAAAGGAAAAATACACACTTACCAGAGCAACCATGGCAAAGCTGAAATACGACTCCAGATAAAAAGCAGAGGAAAGAGGCTGCAGTCAAGATATCAAGCTCAAACTTTTTCAGAGGATGCATGGTTCAAAATATAGCTGCGAGGGTAGTCGATTAAAAATTAACAATAAACCAATTGAACTCAATAAAACTGCGACAAAGTCAGATATAAAAATGTTTATCAAACTTCACACCATGAACAGAATTCTTGCTGTTTTGAACAGTAATTGAAGTCTGTACAGTTTTGTCTATCTTAAGAGTCTTTTGAAAATGATGAATTATTCGTTCTTATTATAAGTAAATAAACGATCTTAGCAGTTGCAATTAAACCGGGCCCAGAGATGAGTAAACTATTTTAGCTGATAACTTAAGCACCGACAAAACAATATACATTAACGGAATAATTAATTCTCTCAATCCTGAGATCTCCGACCTGGTTTTCCCTTTTTTGTTACCATATTTCTTTGTTGGCTAATGCTGAGAACTTAGAGTTGAGTTCATTCAGGCAATATCTCGTTATTTCTTTTTCATTTTTTCATGCAGTAATTCTTTACCTATCGACTCTAGCGATAGAGTGTGTTGAAATTTTAAGAAAAGCCTTGAGTAGCGATCATTCTGTGAGTAAAAGGTATACAGAATTTCAAACCCAGTCAATAATTTTTGAAAATTTTTGTTTAAATTCGCGATTTATCTCCGTATGGGTATTCAAGACATCAGAGACGAACAAATTTTCAAAACACAATGGCTTTTAGTTTAAGTCATTTCAATAAAAGACACAAAAGACGCTAATTACTTAAATTTCCATAACAGGTCCTTAACTAAAGGGGATGTTGCCAGGTCTTGGCATCGTTCGTAAGAGTCTTATCATCCTGCAATTGAAATAAACTAAAGTTGGATAAAACAAGGTGAATACACATGAAGCAATTTAACCTCCGGAGCAGAATTTCAAAAGTTTAACCTGTTTGTAAACTAAGAGTCCTTACAGTTCCTAATTTACATTCCATTTTTTTTAAATTTCGCTGCTTCCATTATTTGGCGAATTATAAAGCAACAGTTTCACTCCGGCTTTTCTGTGACCGATCTACTAAGCTTAAGAGGGGGTAATCAAACTCAGACACAACTCAGGCTCGTAAGATATTCGCTGATACGAGGGGCTAAAGCTTAAAACTTCGGCTTTAGAAAGTTTCGGCCAATTTGCACCTTTATAAACTCATGTACTCGGTTGATAAAACCAAAATATCTTCTTTTACCCCCTCAGACGCAGTTTCTTTAGATACTTATCCCTTTATTTATTACTCTTAAAATATAATTTTGTGTTTATAATCAAAGCAAAACAGGAACGATGGGAGAAAAAAGTAAATCTTATTTATTCGTTTTGTCTCTGTCTTATTTTGTTCACACTTTCGACATTGCTTGGCGCAGCTGAATACAGGACGCACGTCTCGTGTGGACTTTGTAATTACTAATAGCTTTTTGTTTTGTCTCTGTGGCTCAGTGGTAGACCATCGGAGTGCGAGATGCGATAGTTTGATGTTCGAGTCCTCATAAAAACTCCAAATATTTTTATCCTCGCGAGACAAGACTAATGAACATCTTCTACAACCCGGCTTTCAAATTGATCGAACTTCTTTTTATTTTTTCCTTTGCTTCTAATCATTCTCAACTCATGTTCAACTATATGCGCAGTTATGCGCAGTGCGGTTGGTCAGTACAAAATAACTCAGCGTCATGTTGCTTTCTCCTCATGTTATAGAATCATTTTGCCTACTTTTGCTGTAATCTCTATATATTCTCCTTTATCGGGGACTTAACAAAGCGTTTATTTATTCCTTTTTTGTTTTCTTTTACCAGTAAATTACAGTGTCCCACCACAATCTTTGCGTTACCTTTAAGACGCCTACTTTAAAAGAGGATAACGAGAAATTAGTTAATTTATTCACCCAATTTCAAAATAAGACTTCAATTATTTCTTTACTTATTCTATCGGGGAGGAGCGAAGACCTGTCATGAGAGAGAGCCTAAGCCTCATTTCGTCTCCCTTTCGTGATGAAAGAGAGGAACTGAGAACATGTTATTGAATTCAACATGGCGGCGAAAGACTGGCGGAACGTGGAAGGAATTGTGTCCGGATACAGCACAACCGTTGAAAAACGTCTTCGATGGCTGCTTTCAAAATAGAGAAATAGAGGAATGACTATTAAGCTCATACGCACAGCCCACATGTTGCGCACTCAGGGTCGAGGTAAGCTTCAGTTTCTCATAAGCCGCCTTGTTGCTCCCTCAAGTTAAACCATCCATTTAGTGGACCTAGTTAAAGACTATTTCCACAATCATTAAAAATATTTTTTATCAGAACCAACTTTGCTCAGCCTGGTTTGAATGGATACTTCTCCAAATGACAAACTTAGTTCAAAATTTATTTCCTCAGGAAACATTCTTTAACAGAAGCAAGGTACCATTCATCCAAATATATTCAATATATAATGCAATTTTTATTTCAATAGAACTCTTGTTATTGACAATCTGACTTTGCTTTTATTTACTAACGTTTTTCTCACTAAAGGCATAAGATATGCCACTAGTGCTACAGAAATGTTATTTTTTCTCTTTTCAAAATGTTAAATTTCATTTCCTGGCAGAAACAAATGTTGGTTAGGTGGAACTGTGTATCAATCTTAAGCAGGGATCTATTTCATAATTTAAGTCACAATATGTCAATACCATGGCTCAATTATTGTACTATACCTTCTATATCCTGAAATGAATGGGTGGTGACAATTGATGAAATACAAGAATTTCCCTCTTTCTGAATTCCCTTTTTGTGCAGGGTGAATTTGCTTCTTTATCGCACATGACATTTGTGAAGGTAATGGTGTTGTCATGGTAACCAGCTTTATCATTGGTGGCAAGTGAAATTTAGAGTATCACACATTTCTTTGGAGTGGATCCCTTAAATCTCTGGGTTGAATAATAGAATGAGAAGCACTCCAATTACCCTAGAAATGTTAAAGACAGGAAATTTCTATTTTCTACACACACAATTGAGTGAATTCTGAACTACAGACATCTTTGAAGAGTGTGAGAGAGTTGGTTTTCATCCTTGAAAACATTTTCCTTGTCATTCATCATTCCTTGAAGAGTTCATATCGTGAGGTTGCACCTCAAGTCTCTTTTTTTTGCCGCTTTATCATATATATTTATACTTATTTACCATTATTCATTTTTTCAGAACAGGAATGGTGATCAGTCTCAAATTCAGCTTTCTCAGGACACATTAGAGACCTTTTCTTGAGACTCACAGGAATGCATGAATCTATGCATATATTGCATATTGCACATCTTTGCTCATATTGCATAGTTTTTTTGTGATTCTGGCTCATTATGTGAGGTGAGTTTCTTGGGAGAGTTCTTGATTGAAATGTCAAGACTAATCAGTGACAGATTGCCTGAACTCATTCAAATTGACATTTGTAGGTATGCTGGTTGGATGTGAATTTAATCTTGAATTGAACATATTTTTTTCAAAATTGTGTCATTTACGTAACTGAAATATATGTATACAATGAAGAGAACAGATCATGTCGGCATTTGAATACAAGTAAGTTTGTGTTCATGGCTCACTTGTTTTCCAGGCTTCTTTGTTAGAGACTACAATCAACACTCAAAGCTTGAACTTTTATCCACTTCACCATGTAGTAATTTCTTTGAATCACAGATTTTGTTACTTTCATTAATTGAAAGAAGAAAGATATAGCTTAGTTTGAAATCCTTTCTTCTTTCTAATTGTTTCTTTCCTTTTTTTTCAGTTACTTATAAGTTATGCCTACATAGGAAGAGGACTTCATTTGATGATGGGCAGCTAACAGCTGGCATTCTCAGTTATGAAATATTATCAGGTGAGACTCAACTGAGTAACAATGGCTATTGGGCCAGTGAGATAAATAATTGATAAGTGGATAAATCAATTAAGTTCAAATGGAAATCTCATTTTTCTTTTTTCCTTTTTTTTTTTGAGGAGCATATTATTCCAAAAATTGCTAAAGAGAAATGGAATTGATCTCATGAAAAATGAAGGTACACTGACTTTTGATGGGAATTTGATGATTGTACAACCTATTGTTCAATATATGGGTAGAAATTATATACTTGTAATATCCACCAGTGAGGTTTAAAATTGTCTCAAAAGAATGTTTACTTAACAATAACAGAGGTGTAACTCAACTCAGCTGTATGAACAACCTTTCATGCAGAAAATGTATTCTTATAAGGTGGTGCAACATCACAAGTAGGTAACAAAGAGCTAAGTCAGCTTATAAGTCAGATTGCCCATTCTGCCAGATCACAGCCGGGTTGCCTTAGCACTCTGTCAGAGCTTTCCTTGACATTTTCCCTGTACTCTTTTTATTCATCCTGGATGTAAAGTGAAAGTAAAGTGTCTTTTCTAAGATAATATCACACCCACAACTGACCCAGAGTTCTGGGCACCTGACCACCAAACCACTGTTTCTCTCACCAAGCATGTTTATTATTTTTAATGATTGTGAGTAGATGAATACTATTTATAATAGTGAACTGCAGATTAATAACACCATGTTTTATTTTACCATTAAAGATCTATTACAAGGATTAATTGAAGAAAATATTGATAAAAGGGTTCTCTGGTAGAAGGGGAATTATAAGCTTTCTTGAGTTGGTCCACTGTTGTAAGTTAATGGAAATACCTGATTTACTTAACTGTGAGCTGAGTATGACTTTTAAATGCAGAAACCCTAAACTTGAGAGCCCTGAAGATAGGCTGAAGCTTTTCTCTCTCAGGAAACATGTCATGGTTGCTGAATGAATTGACACGGTTATATAGATATTCCAAAGTTAATTGAAACAATCAGCAAATCAGCTGTGCTTAATTGTTTAAGTGGGTTTTCTGAGGAAAATGACGGACTTTCTGCTTGGTCAACTTGACCAATAGACTGGTTTGCCAAGGGTACACCACAAACTGACTGGCTGAATGGCAGAAACACTTTAAAACTAACTGGCTGACTGAGTGACTGGCTTACTGACTGAGTTAAAGTTTGACTGACTGGCTACGTGTCTCAGAGGCTAGGTGTTCGGACCAATATGACAGCTATAAAATTGCTATTCACGATGCCATCACATCTCCAAAGACTGAGAATTTAGTTTTCATGAGTTGAGTTTCAAGGAGCCTGGAAATGTAATTACATATATTCATGTTACCCATTAATTAATGTTATGTTTTTTTTTTTTTTGTTTAAATGTTTTCGGTTGTTTGTTTGTTTGTTTTTCGATAGTGTCCATGTTGTTGCATGTAATATCTTAATTCGAGGTCATCTCATCTGTGTTAGCTCTTTTCTTTGGTGTGTCATGATTCCATGTCTTTTCTGTAGATGAGAGTAGTGAGTTTAGAGGTTTTGATGTCCTTCTATCTCGGATTTTTTCAGATTTTGGAGGGAGGTGAAGGGGAAGGAAATAGACTCAAGATCACTTTCACGTCAAAAGCAGGCATCTAAATTAAAGAAAGGAAGGAGGGCCGGGTATGGTTTTGTTTACTGTGACTGGGATTTGATTGAAATTCGATTTAATACAGACTAAGAGGTGTCATTACGTTCCCTATTTCCAAAATGAATGTTTGTAGTCACAATTTAGTTCAACCTAACGAACAAGGACGGACCAGTGTCTACATTTGCCACATACAGATTTCGTTTTCCCGGTTAGACTGATTGTGAAAAAAATTGTTTACAAAGTAATTTTACATTTGTCTTCAGAAGTTTGGGAGTGGCTCGAATTCTTTATCGTCGTGAATGACATCCGACTTCCTATTCAGCTTTTATGTGGAGGTGTCGTCGACTTCCAAGAAGATGCGTTCACAATTTGCCGTCGGGGTTCAATTCTTTTGTTTCATCACGTTATCGTTTCCATCGCCGTCTTGGTTTACATAGATTTCTATTTTATGATGCTGGCAAACGATGTACAGTTGTTAATTGTTTTCTGGTTGCCGCTGTTGTAAAATTATTGCTATTATTATTGTTGCTTTTTTCAGTATAATTGATGTGTTATTGTTGAACGTCGAGAACAGAAATCGTTGTTATTTCTTTAGCTCTTCTAGTTTTTTTTTTTTAATATTTCTGTGTTGTTAATTAATCTTACACAGTACACTGATAATTTATTGATTTATTGCCAGTTACATATGATGAAGAAAATAGATTCATTTTTTTTCTGTATGTTGTAAAGTTTCCTTCAGATTGTAAAGGAAGGAAAGAAGAAAATAAAAGGTCCAAGAAACTATTAGCGTGGAAAGAGAGAGATTTGCTAACATTCCAAACTATCGCGTTCAGGACTCGTGTTCCCAAGGTGATTAAATATATTTGTGTTATGTAGTTTACTTCAGATTGCCAGAGAAAAATAAAAAACCCCCCAAAAGTATTTTCATCAAAGGGAGTGCTGCGTCGGTCGAAGAGTATAGCAGGTAAGTTAGTGTAAACAACTGAGTTGAAAACGTAAATTGGCCACCGTAAAGAGTAAAAAAGCTGACGTTTCGAGCGATAGCCCTTCGTCAATCGCTCTGACGAAGGGCTAACGCTCGAAACGTCAGCTTTTTTACCCTTTACGGTGGCCAATTTACGTTTTCAACTCAGTTGTTAACACTAAATTTAAAGTATTTCCAGTTTATCTTGGAAAACTTGAGCATTTACTCCGATATCTTTGACGATCTTGGTATTAAGTTTTTTTACACTTGTACAGTTAAGTGAAACTGGTTTTGTACAGTGTTCTTATTTGGTGACATGATGTGTTTATGATTGTAGAACTAAGATTGATGGAGAATATGATTTAATGCAAGATTGCAGCCGTCTTTCACTTGTGAAATTTTGCTTTTGGTGGATGAGCTGCTTTAGGGAAGATCTGACTTTTTATCTCTTTTTTCAAGGGTAAGAGGCAATCTGTCGCAGAAATAATATATTGCTCGTTCACCCTGAAAACGGTAGGTAGTTACTTGATCTTTTGATTTAGTTAAAAAGAAATGCCTCAAAGTCAATCCTTTAGGTTTGGTCTGAAAATATTTTTAATTTCACTCTAAATGTGTCGATTCTTTAGTTGCGTCTCAAATATTTTAGATTATCTTAAAAAAATTGACATGACAAAGAAAGTGTCAGAACTGCCAAGATATTTCTTTATTTTCAACTTGACTGATTGGTTTAAGTTTTTATCTGGTGGCCTTGAAAATTTCATTTTCAATTGTTGCTCAAGTGTAAACAAAATTATTTAACCGAAACTAGAGGTCTAAAAATGTTATCGTTTCGTTTTGCTGGTCTGTAAGAAGCCAGGAAGTTAGAGTTAAAAGTTCAGATTTGATGAGTTTTCTTGTTGTGGTATAGTTGAACGGAAACTTGCACATTTCTTGTTATGATGGTCCATAAATGGTCTGACCCGTAAATTACAACTGACAATTTTATATTATTATCGTTTACGTTTCCTCTTTCAGCTGCCTTAAAGATCATAGGTGTAGAAGATCAAGAGAGACGAGATTACCTTTTATTCTGGTGAGTGTAGCTTTATTGTTCATTTAAACGGAAACTTGTTCGTAATATTCATGTGAGCGTTTGATGGTAATTTATTAGGAAACATTTTTGTTGTCCTTGTGGTGAAGGTTTATTTAGGACGCATGCGGATACAGTGTATTTTCTGAATTGAACATTTTTCCAAGTCCTTGAGTGCCCTAGTTAAACAGAAGCTTGTGGGGGTTTGTTTTTTGGCGGGAAAAGTTCGTTTGTCATCCTTTTGGTAAAAGTCTGACAAAGTATGAAGGCAGGTAACGTTCTTTAGCTCAAATTCTTGGTCTTAATTTCATTTTCCAATTTTGCAGGTTTCTTCCACCACCCGAAGCTGATACCAAGGAACACGATCACCTTAAGAATTAGACCAGTGACAAATATCAATCTTGAAAACAAAACAAAATTGGATCGACTCCCAATTCAGAGAATAAAATGAAAAATTGGGGGTCGATCCGTCCACCATCCCCCACCACACCCCCTTCTATTAGAAAGTTTATAACACTTATCTACCCGTCCACCACCTCTCCCCATACCCGCCACATTTGGTCAGTTTTCATAATTCTTGTTACAAGTCATCTTCCTTATGGTACAAACAACTTTTAATACACTAGCACTACAGTAAATTATTACTGTACAATATTTTATTATCTATTACAATGGTAACATTACAATCTTGTTCTTACAATCATATAATACAGTAATATTACAATTATTTGATACAGTTTTTTTTCTCCATCCAGCCTCCCGCACCACACCCACCTCTGGGGTCCATTTTCTTAATTCTCTTTAAAAGTTGTCTACCTTGTGGTAGTGACGCTTATTTCAAACGCATGCATTTCTAAACCAAACGTCTGTCTTAAGACACATGCGTATTGCAAGATGTCGTTACCACGAAATAGACAGTTTTTACAACTTCTTAAAAACTGCCATCAAGAGATGGGCGTGGAGGAGGTTGACATTTGTTCTTGGTTTCTTGAGATGGTCATCCTTCATGAAATCTATGTAAAGAGAACCTCGAATGAGCAACATTGAAACACTAGGATAAAAATATGACATCACTGCGCGTGTCTTTTTAACTGAAACCCATAAACGAGAGTTCTTACAATATAAATAAAAGAAATGGGTTTATTCGTTTCTCTCGACTATTCCACGCGGCAACACTTTTGCGAAAATCAAAGGAACCTTTAAAACAGAATTACAACTATACGTTGAACTGTAATTACACTTACCATCAGTCTACTATGAAATTCTTAGTAAAGTTGTAATCTTCGTGTTACCTGAAAGACGAAAAATACACAAAACTCATAAAACGATACTCTACGGTACTGACAATTTTTGCTGATGTTAACCTTTTTAAAACATTAAACAACAATTGTACTTTCTCAATTATAGAGACTAAATTGTTAAAACCACATAAGATAAGCAAATTTTAATGAACAAAGAAATGTATTTTAGAAGAAGTTTGAAGTGTGGTGTCCCTGATTAATTTCACGAGTTGCAGAGCGAAGTAAAGCAGGCAGAGGAGCGTAGGACGCACAGCCGGCCGGTGAAACGGGCTGTTTTACGGTACAAAATAGCCAACTGTCCAAATCTATAAACGGATGGCGCGAGATGGCGCGAAAATATGCACGTATGTTAGTCCGCGGACATTATCTGTTCCAAAATGACGGAATTTATTTTCAACAGTTTACATTTTGAAAAAACAAATTTAAGTTGAGAAAGCTTGAATCGTGAAATCTGATGCCCTACTTTCATGCTTGATGAAATCGCGAAACTATAATCCCGCAAAATACTGTCTCGACAAAATCGCGAAATTAAGTACCCACGAAATTAAGTACGAATGAGGTTGTTTCCTATAAGAAATCGAATTAAATTGACACAACTGTTCTCGAGAGCGGGAGGTGGTTCTAGGGCTTTAAACCACTGGTGAGATAGATTAAGCCTGCGCAAGCCTTGATTACTTTGGAAACCTGGCAATAAAAATTGCTCTACTTTAAAGAATAATAAAAAAAGTAATTTCTACTAATTTTAATCAGACACGTCAACCGTGTTCTTTACTGTCCAGTGCATAGATAATTGAATCCAGGAACAGAAACAAGAAAATAAAATCTCACTATTCAATCTTTACGGTAACTTTCAAATTGCATGATACTTTGTTGAATGCAATCATAATCCTACAGTTTACATGCATTTTTTTAATTTGGCAAAGTGAGTGGGGCTGTGCTATATCAATCAAAGAGAATTCCTCACTGAGACAACATGACTTGCTTAGTCTCCATGGGCTGGGAAAAATATTCACCAGCCCATATAAGAATTGAAGTCCAGTGCCTGAAATAGCTTTTTACCTTTTTATTGAGGACCAAATCTTTGCATCTCAGGAGATTTGGTGGGTGAAACTGACTCCTTTGTGGGTAACCTTTTCACTACCCATCTCTTGTAAACAGTTCAAGATCCCTTCAGTTTCTGAAACAATCTTAACTCTCTTCTCCTTGTTTTTTGGTGGACCTGGACTCCGACACAGTTCAAGATTCATTCAGCACAGCAAGACAGTCCAGTTTCCAAAATCAGATCAAGGCTGAGGAAGAGACTTTACGGGTGAGGCTGACTCCATTACAGGTCAGCTATTGGTCACCTATCTTTTACACACAGTTCAAGATCCATTTTGCACAGCGACACAGTTCAGTTTCGAAAACAGTTTTCACACTCCTCTCTTTGTTTTTTGGTGGACCAAGTCTTAGCACACAGATCAAGGCTGAGGAAGAGACTTTATGGGTGAAGTTGACTCCAAAGCAGG